GAAGGGTGGATCTGTTTTGGGAGGCAGCACTGTGCTTGGGAGTGCAGAGGCACTTGGGTCTTGCTTACAGAAATTGCTATCATAAGCCCTGCTATGAAGACTGCATAAAAGAGCCAAGTGCAAGTGCCTTTCCTTGGTACTCTTTTTGTCTCCCAGAATTCCGGTGAGAAACCTGCTTTTCCCACTAGTTTTGCTCCAGGTTCATGACGTTTGAAGACAGCACTTCTTCCCTCTGCTACCCTCCCTTTAATATTGGCATGCTGCCCTCAGGCTTATCCTAAGTGAGCATGGCTTATTCCCTCCCCGGTTCCAATCTCATTTAAAGCTCTGTCATTGAGCCCTGCCAACTCCTAATCAAAGATCCTTTACCCCTTTGAGACAGTGGTACTTCATCTGCTGCCACTAGGCCTGGTGTCCTCTAAATGACCCGTTGTCCAACCCACCCCGTTCTGCTGGTAACATCAGGCTTGGAGCCCGGTAGGATTTTCCTCCCTCATCATTCTCTGCAATTGGCAGGATAGCAGAAAACACTGCATGTGCCTCAGATCCCTCAACAAGTCATTCAGAGGCCCTGAGATCTCTCTTGCTTGTCCTCAGACATCATGAGGTACTGATACAGGGCACATACAAAGGTGTAGGTTCCAACAGCTAAAAATTAACACAGATGACCTTCTTGCTGAGTAGCTCTTGAGGGAAAGAAATATTCATGACTTGTGTGTGCAGGGCCCCCAAGGCACAGAAAGCTCTTGGAAGGCCTTCTAGAGCACCTTTGGTAAAATTGCTCAGGAAGCACCTATTAAACCCCAAGTGTTCATAACCTCAAGCATACAGGCAAATGACAGCTCTCCTCTGGGATGTTCCCAAGGCTCATAACCAGAATCCAGCTGAGAAGCTCGATGAACATGGCCAATGCCATCCTCTGGAATCAAGCACAGATCAGAGAAATCACTTCACACTCAGAGAAAGGAGGAAATGAGAAAAAACTGATTGTCCACGCTTCCATGGATAACAGGCTGTGAAAGGCCACACCAGCATCAACCGTGCATGTTTCTCTGGGCCAGGGACCAGCAGTTCATCCAAGGGGAGCAGGGCTGCTGGGCTAGAGCTGAATATCTTATTTTTCCAGGTGGGTGTCTCCTGAGCTTGCCCCTCTGGGATGTCCCAGTGCCACAGCGACTCTAGTGCTGAGTTTCTGGCCCTGCACTGCCACTCCCCACCTCCCTGATCATGAGGACCCTCTCTCCCCACAACCCCTGAAGCAGCTGCAGCCCCTCCACACCTCTCCAGGCTGTGTCTGCCCCACTGCCCATGCCGTGCTGCCTTCCTGGCTCACCCAGTCCTCACCCTGGCCCCACTACAGCCCAGGGTGGCTGCTGGCCCCTGCCTGCCTACCTGCTCCCTGCCCTTGCATTGGAGCAGACTGGACATCCTGGGCTTGCAGGGCCACCAGAAAGAGGGGGAGGCAGTGGGTGAGGACCATGACCCCCAGTGCTCACAACATTCAGGCAAGAACTCACTGCTTTTATGAAAAAAAAAAAATCACTTAAAAAATCATCATCTTCTGGTGTAAAGTATCCCTGTTAGTAAAGGGACACCAGGACGGTGTGGGCTGGAGTGAGTCCAGGGAAACCCAGTTCTCCCGTGAAGAGGCCCTGTCAGCCAGAGAGCAGCTGGGACAAGCGGGCAGAGGTGCGGGGTCTGTGCCCATGTTCCTGTATAGCTGGGCGAGCTCTGCCACAAAGATCCCTGGTGACAGGTGGCAGCTGTTGTTGAACTTTGTGTTTGCTTGGTCTCTCTCACCCCTATCTGCTCCTTATCTGACTCTGCTTTGCCTTTATCTTTAGACTGAGCTTTGCTTTCCCAGAAAGAGTCTTTATGGGCTTGTCATTGTGCTGCTCGGTCTTCCTGGGTCCTTCTTTACAAAGAGATTTCAAAGAAGTCTACTCATGGATATGAATTAGGAGCCCAGTTAAAAGACTGTACCACAGAGGTTTCAGCACAGTGCTCCCAGGAGCTGCCTTGGCACTCCAGCACTGTGCAAACACTCCATTGCCAATGCTAAATAACTGGAGAAAAAACTCTTCTTCTCAGCTGTGACATGACTATGCAGCCAATGAGTATTCCAAGCAGGGCACAGGCGAGACTGCTGCAGTTTGTAGGATATAGTTCTTGCTCGGCTCCCAGTGACCATCAGTCTCAACCTTTCCTCCAGCAGCGGTCCCTTGCAGGAGCAGAGAGTTACACACTTTTCTGTGCTTGGCTCTATGGGTAATCTCAGATTCAGGGTGCTTCAGATGCACAAGGGATTTTGTTTTCAGAGACTAGTGCCTCTGGCTCTGTGTCTTAGGAGCAGGGGACAAGAAGGATCCCTTCAGGTTCTCCTGGAGAAGAGCCTGTGTGCCAGTGAGCAGCTGCACCAGCACTGCCCAGTCTGTTCCTTCAGGCTGCAGGCCAGGGCTGTGTGCTGGGGACCTGCAGTTCATGGATTCTCATTCATGGAGAGCACTGGAGGGATATAGCACAAATGCTCTTCTTTTTCCTAGTCAAGTGCCAAGCACTCACAACCCTGTAGGTGAAGAGGTATTCAGCCTAAGGCTTGTAGCCTGTCCTAGAGTCCATGCAGTCTTTTGGCACACTGGACTTCAGTGAGGCACAGGAACCCTCTGGCTGAGAGGAGTGATATGTCCCTACTGTGCCACATTTGCAAGGCCACTTGTCCAAATCTGGGAGATGCTGGTCCAAGAGGTGATCATGAACTGGGAAGTTGCAAAATCCCTTTCAGTAGAAGGGACCATCAGAGTGTGGATTTCTGGAGCCCTTGCAGTACTTCAGAAGTGTATGAACCCATCAGTGGAGGTGGTTTAAAATGAGCACGTCCATAGATCTCAACTAACTGCAATACTTACAGTGATAATTATGCTGCAAGGTGTGATGTGTACCTCAACAACATCTCAGTTCATCCACACTCAGTGTGCCCTTCTCCTTGCTTCTTCCCTCTGTGGGAGTTGTGTGTCAAGATAATTTTTCCCCATCCTAGAAAACTGTTTCTGCCATATCACTTACAGTCACTTCAACTAGTCATGAAACACAGAATCATAGAATTGTCAAATTTGTAAAAGATCTCTAAGTTCATAAAGTCCTGCCGTGAACCTAGCACTACGACCTTTTTCACCACAAAACCACATCCTCAAGTGCCATATCTACAGACTTTTTGAATGCTTCCAGGGACAGTGACACCACCATTTCCCTAGGCAGCCTGTTCCAATGCTTGATAAACCTCATTGTGAAGAAATTTTTTTTAATAACCAGTCTAAAACTCACCTGGTGCATGAGACCATCTCCTTTTGTCCTGTCACTTGTTACCTGGAAGAAGAGGCCAATTCCCACTTCACTACATCTTTTCAGGTAGCTGTAAAGATGAATAAGGTCTGCCCTCAGCCTGCTTTCCTCCAGGTTAACAACCCCAGCTCCCTCAGCTGCTCCTTATCAGACTTGTGCTCCAGACCCTTCACCAGCTCCTTTGTCCTTCTCTGAACAAGCTCCAGCATCTCCATGTCTGTCTTGTAGTGAGGGGCCCAAGATTGAACACAGGATTCAAAGTGTGGCCCCACTAGTTCATGCTGGTGACACAGTGATATTTTGTTTGTTGCTCAGTAGTGCTCATCCTAAGTCAAAAGGACTTTTCAGTCTCCCGTGCTCTGCCAGAGAGCAGGTGCACAAGAGGCTGGGGGGAGCATGGCCAAGAGAGCTGATCTGAACTGGCCAAAAGAATATTCCATACCGAAGACCGACGTGCCCAGTATAGAAACTGGAGGAGTTACCTGGAAGAAGGCTGATTGAGGTTCGGGGACAGGGTTTGGCATTAGTTAGCAGGTGGTGAAGAGTTGTCAGTTGTTTCTCTTGGATTCCATTTCTCTCGGATTCCGTTTCTCTCCTTCTCTATATAATTACAATTATTACTATTAGCATACTTAGTATTATTCAGGTTGGTTGGGTTTTTTTTCCAAATATTAAGATGTTTTAATCTCAATCCACGAGGTTTATTTTTTTACTTTGTGTTCTCTCCACCAGAGGGGTTGCAGTGGGGAGGAGTAAGTGATCATCTGTGTGGCACTTAGTTGCCAGCTGGGCTTAAAACACAACAGTTCTTTTTGTCACCCAATGTGGAGCACAAAAGGTCAAGATAACAGCAGTTCTGAGCCGACTGTGATAAACCAAATTTGTTTTAAGCATTTGGTTTATTAATTTAGTAGTTGCTTGTCATCATGTTGCTACATTTACTCTCAAGAGTTCCTATGTGTGTGCTTGGATGTGCTTTATAAAATGCAGTTCTTGCAGTGTGTGTTGCTGTGGTGATGTTCATCCTCGAGGGAGTCTGGGCTAGAACTACCACTGTATCGTTCTTTCCAGTACTGTCTGATGATACGATAAATCGCCAGTCATGAACCTAATCTGGTACGCGTACTCTGCATTGGCATCTCGTCTGTACTTCAGGCGCGATCTAGTGGGAACTATCAGTAATAACACCTCTTACTCTTTCTCCATGGGGAGTTCCAGCACTCAGAGGGCGTGTGTACTCCTTGAGTACTGCATTCAGTTTTGGACCCCTCACTTCAAAAAGAACATTGAGGTGCTGGAGCATATCCAGAGATGGGCAACAGAAATGAAGAGTCTAGAAAACTCGTCTTACGAGGAACAGTCTTGAGGAGGCTCAGGGAGGACCCCACAGCTCTCTACAACTACGCAGAGGGAAGTTGTAGTGAGGTTGGGCCATCTCTTCTGCCATGCCTGCACTGAGAGGGCAAGAGGAAGTGGCTTTAAACTGAGACGAAAGATTCAGATTAGATATTAGAAAAGATATTTTCACTGTTAGGGTGGTCAGGTATTGGAATAGGTTGCCTAGTGAGGTGTTGGAGTCACCTCCCTGGAGGTGCTTAAGAGGTATCTGGATCTGGTGCTGGGTGATAGAGTTCAGTGGTTTAGGCATTACAGTGGTGGTGCTGGGTGGACAGTTAGACTGGATGATCTTGGAGGTCTTTTCCAATCTTGATTATTCTGTGATATTCTATGATTAATACTAAAGGACTTGTGAAATTTTCCATCAGGTCGGAAAGTTGGATTTGGCTTTTATTACTCTCACTCTTATCCAAGGAATCTGTTCTTTCTGGATGTTTGTTTTATATTCTTTCACTGGAGGGTGATTCAGTCTGTATCATAACTCTGTTGTCTTTGCAACTTCTCCTTCAGCATTAAAATATAAAAATTATCCTACCTAGACTTCACTTTCCATTATCAGTGACAGCACAATCTAGCTAGCTAATACCTTTGGAAAATTTCAGGCTCATTTTAACATTCATATAAAATGAGTTATCTCTATGAAGTAGTTTTTCTGGTGCTTTTTAAATCACAAATAACTGAAAAATATTGAGACTGCATTGCACTGGTATAAATAAATTTCTTCAAAACCTGTTAAAGATTACTGTAATTAATGGTGGTGAAGAGTTGTGCTTACTACTTGTCAATGTTTTTGGAAAATATATTTACAATACAGAAGTGAATTATTTGATATCTTTATATATTTGTTGTCTTTCATACACAGAAACAGAGGGGGCTTTTGCTCACAGATCTGCCATTGGACCCAACTTCTAATCGAATGGAAATTTTGCAAATGTAAGACAGCTTCATTTACAATGTCTGTTCAATAATTTAATTTTTCATGTCAAAATTATTTCAGTTCTGTAAATATTATGAAGTGTGCATGAAGGCATAATATTATGAAGGCATACCTGGGAGACATACACTAATGTTACCATTCAGTGTACACAGCACACACCCAGAAACAACTCAAAATTATAACTCAGAAAAAAAAAAAGGCAGAGGAAACCTGGAGGGAAATATTTGAATATAATGAAAAATATTAGTGAAATTCCTTGAACAAATATGTGCTGTTTTTAAAGACTGGATAAACAATAAAATGATTAGGGAAAAAAAAAACAACACAAAAAACCCCCCACAAAAAACCCACAAAAAACCAAACCTAGCATGTAAAAGAGAAAGTATTACAAGATTGAATATTTTATACTAAATATATTTAGAATATAAATGAAAGATAGATGACATTTTAAATTATGTGTATATGGATTATAAGAACACATTGATAGAAGACCTCCACATTTCTGAGTTTAAACCAGCCTGAGAGATTAGAATGAGATTCTTGCAGTCTTTTGGCATGTTAGCTGTTTTCTGCTGTTATAAGCAGGAAAACAAACTAGATATGTGGATCAGTTCCTAAATACCAAGTTCAAGATGAAAAAAATCTTCCTTCATTTGAGATAATGGGAAATTGTCTAGAAGTTTAGTGTAGACTGATCTGGGGCAGGCAGTTTTGTCTAAATCAGCCCTTCCAAGTTCTATGTATTTAAGGTAAGACCAATATAAAAATAGTTAATTTAGAGTTAGATCAGGGATTTCTTCAGTGTTCCATGAGCACTGATTTAACCACAGTATAGACATACTCAGGGACCTGAAACCAGATTAATAACCAGATTGATAAAGTATAAGTAAATAATTTCAAGGGCAGTTTCCCTCAAACCATTTCTAATAAAACAGTTGAAGCAGCAAATCCTCCAATCAAAGAGATGAGAACAAACTTGGATGGTTTATGCTTTGAGTTGATGCCATTGAAACAAAGATTAATACTGTGATTATTGCTGTTAACTTTTTTTTGCCCTTTCTTCTTATTACTCACATTTGTGTCTTTCAGGTTGGAATCTGGAATTGCCCCATCTTTCTGCTCCTCTCAAAGATGAAAGAATATTTTTTTTTTTTTATGAAATATATTGAAACAGTATAAAAATAATTTAAATTGGTGTTGTATGGGGTTTTTTTTGTTTGTTTCACCTTACAGGAACAGGAGAAAATATTTGTTATGCGGTATCTGCCTTCAGACTCTCTCTTCTCAGTGAACATTGAAAGTACTAATTTGAGGATCAATCAGCATGCCTTTTGCTCTTCTCTGACTCATTCTCTTCAGAATGCTTTGAAAAACAAATTGTAAATTGATGAAGAAGCCTGTGTAGCCTTGGACTGAGATTAGATGGATTTAATGGAACAGAAAAAGTACCCTGCTGTCATGTTACAAGGCTAGGTACTTAGTTTTTGTTTTAAACCTGTTTGATGCAAAGGATTTCAGTTGCAGGTCAGATGTTATAATTCAGAGGAGATGATACGTTATCTATTTTTTCATTTCAAAAGCACTGCAGTTTGCTCTTTGTGTATTACGAATACAACAGGGTTTGGATTGCTTTTCAGTAACTGGCGTGCTTTTGCTCCTTCACGTAGTCCTTTTAAAACATTCCAGGTTGTCTAATTTATTTGCAGTAGTAGTAGACTTCCTGACCCTACACCAAGGAACACTACAGTGTTTTTGTTCCACACAGGCAAGAAAAATGGCAGAGCAGTCAGTACTGGACAGAAGCAACAGCCTGATGAGCAGGACATCAGGTCTGACTTGAGGCTGAGATTTTTGGATGACCTATTTTGGAAAATAAAATTTAATGCTCTTTTTCTTGCTGTCTTCTCCTAATTTCTCACCTACTATGGCTTCAGGGCTTCACCTCTTCAAAAGACCTCAGTTCTGCAAGATGCTGAGCAATCCACTGTTCTTACCTAATCTGACAGAAAGCTTGAGGCTCAGTGCCATGTCTTTGATAGGACTCTGTGTAGGCTAAAACTTTAGTTGTGTTTGCAAATGACAAGTTAGCTTGCAGTGCTTTGACTACTGTGGAAAGGAGCCCAAGCCTTCATTCATGCCTGGTATTGTGATACCATCCAGCTTGCTGCTTAATGAGGCTGTAGAATTTTTGTTTTATTTATAGTTTTCAAATAGGTACAGTGAGCTGCACTGATTTTCAGATTTTCTTCAGCCACAAAATCATTTGCCTAAACCAGCCGCAATAACACACAGCTCCCTGGAGAGACATGAGATCCAGCTTATACTTCAGCTCAGAGAAATCTTTTCATTCCTGTTACCTCAATGCAGTTTTGCAGACCTTCACAGAAAATACTCTATTCTGATGTGGCATGTTTATTTCGTAAAATAGGAAGTCACAGTGGTTTTATACACATTTGTCTGTACTTCGTCTTATGGAAGAGCCTGCCAGAGGTTTCATTTGGTTACATTTTCTTTTTTATAAGGATTATTTGCCAAGAAACATACAATGTGAAGGGCTAGTGGGTAAGATTACTAAAATAATCTTGCTCTCCAGCTACTCATATTTTCAAGCTAATAAACAGATGTCATAGTTATTAAACTCTTGAGGAGAGCCCTAGGAGCTGCCCTGTTGTTGCTTTTCATATCCTTTTATGCAATGCTATTACCCTTTAGGAAAGACACATTAATGACATCTAGAATAGTGACTTCACAAAACATTTCTTTGAATTTCCTTAACTGTCTTTACTTTAAAACATCTCTAAGCTTCAAACTTAAAGGAAGAGTTTGTCTAGACAGGTGCTTCTGGATTATCTGCATGATTCAACAAGAATATTAATATTAATATGCTATTTAAACATCTGTTTAAAATACATGAATAATTATTCTCCTTAGGCATAATTTCATATAAGAATGTCAACCTTAGAGTTATGAATTTCTGGGTGCTTGGAGAACACTTCTTCTCCCTTGTTAGTGCATGCTGTGTAGCTGCAGCACAGGGAGTAACACAGAGAGGTTTGTTGCAGGAGGCGAGTACAACTGACTCCCTCCCCTCAGACAGCCACAGGTCACTGTAACATGTTCAGGCAGAGGTGCTCATTTGCTACAGATGTGGTACGATTGCTTTTCGTGCAAGATGACCCTGGTAGCTCCAATTTCCGAATTCAAACAGGAGCCCACCTGGGAGCAGCCAGGCCTGATGATTTCTTCTCCAGCAGAAGGGACATGAGCTCTGCTGTGGAGCTGTCACTCTCTGCTGTGCTAGGCAGCAAACTCATCCCAGATAGTGAGTATTATTTTGATGAGGCTTTATTTATACCCTCATGAGCAAATGCTAAGGAACACCAGGCTGGGCCCTGAGTTTCCTGAAGCTTTTACATTCTGGGGTTTTTTTCTGTGTGTGTCTCCATTAAAGGTATTAATAGCATTTTCATGCTCATACATATTTTACCTATGTAAATTGGGAATGAAAGCAACCCTGTTATGGTCACTAATGTCTCTATATCCTATGTGAGGACCCCACGCCTTGCTCTGAGACTGTGTACATGCTATGCTTTTCACACTAAAGCATGCTGAGAGGTTTTTCCAAACCACAGCAGATATTTCTGATCTTTAACAGGTAGTATTTCTCATATGCCTCTTCAGTAAAGACAGACTCCTAGTTTCTTAACAGTACTTCTTATAGTCCTTTGAGATAAATAAAAATTACCAATATAATTCTAGAATTGGCTACATTTTTATTACCTAGCAGTTTTTGACAACTCAACACAGATCTCTAGGAAATTATGTTCCCTGCAGAAGTTGGGAGTCCATTTTTTTAGTAATTTCTAGCTTTGTAAGACAAAATCTAGGGCTGATTCAGGATAAAACACTGTCTTTAAGGCTTTATGTATCAAGGAGGAGAAGGAGGAGGAGGAGAAGTATTTCTGTTGTTTATTCAGTCCATTGGCAGCTGTCTAGAGGTGTCCAGGAGCCTTTATGACCCATCTCCAAGATCAAATATGGCTATAATATATAATAGATTCAGCACAATTTTAAATTTTTTTTGAGTATTTTTTCTGGTGTTGCTGTGCTGTGCTTGCTTCACTAGGTGGCAAACTTCACAAACTGTAGCTGGCTGGATTTTTTTTGCAGACCTTTAACCTCAAATAAAATAGCATGTGCTGGGAAAGCTTTGCTTGGACCTCATCCAAATAATATTTGCTTCCTTTCATGTGCAAAAAAGGAGCTATTAGTGCTATAATTCAATCATTTTCTTTTCTGGGCTCATCTGTGAAAAGCCCATAGCTGCTGCAATGGAGTATTTACTTTCTATGTGTAGTGGTCTTTGAGATTATTGAGTAAGCAACTGGAAAAATGCCCCCTTTTTCATATTTAAAAAAGAAACACCTCACATCAACTGTATTCATGAAACTTAAGCCTGGTTTGTTGCTACATAGATCAATCATTAGTTAAAATAAGAAAGAAGCATTGCCATTTCTTCCTGAATAATAAATATCTTCCGGTGCTACCATTTGTTCAGTATCATTATAAAGTGCAAGGAAAGCATATGGCATTCTTTATACTAGAAAAACAAGGGTCATCTTCAAGAAACTTAAGAGGTCCCTCCAGCATATAACTAAAATGACTTCTGTGTTTCAGCAGCTGTGCAATCTGATTTAAGTAGTGATGGCAGAATAAATAGCTGGGTAGAATAGAGAGCAGAATCTGCCTTGCAACCCCATGGATGAGTGATGTTTTTACTAAGCATCGGTGGGCTTTTCAGAGGAACTTGTGTCTCAGGAGCATTTGGAAGGAAACAAAATGGATGTCTGATGCACGAGGGCACTAAGAAAAGGGTTTATAGCATAAGCAGCTGTGGCAGGTCGGCCTGACTTTTATCAGGAACTCCAGAAGTACTTGTTATCACAAGTATAAGACATTGTGCATTTAATGTGCATATTTTTTGTTGTTTGTTCTGCGGTGTTTCTCACAGTAGGAAATGAGAGTGAAGAAAGATGGAGAAAGAATCAAGAAGCAACAGAGAGATTTTAATACAGGATTTGATAACAACCAGAGAGGTTCAGTCTCTGGGATGACAGTTTGGTTGAAACTGTTGTTGCAGCTGTTAGGCTTACTTTAAAGACATTGAATTTAGACAAAGAACAAAGCCCCTCTATGCCACAGCAAGTAAATCCTCTGTGGGAATTTTTTGGGGTCTGTGATGAAGAGATTGCTGCCTCATTAGCAAGAATGAAGTGTGTTTAGGGGGAAGACTGAAACCAGACGGATTGGTGAAGCCCTGTGATCTGAACTGAAATTCGCACTTCTGAGTGGTCATGATGACAAACTGTGCATCCAGTGGCAGGTCACTTAATTATTCTGTGCCTCTGTTTATTTGCACTGCCAACTGTGAGATCCTGAAACAATAACAAGGGTTGTTTTAAAATCTTTTTGAACTGGAGGACCTAAACCTTCAGGGTTCATTTAAAATGAGGAAAGCATATTGGCTTTCTATGGGAGAACTTTGTTAATCCTCTTCTTTTCAGACCTTGCCTCTCCCCCTCCCTCATGTATTTCTTCACCCTTTAACCTGCATCCTCAGTAGATCTCTTAATATGATCTCCCGGTGTGATCATTTTCACATTATCTATGTTTTCTATTTCCTCATTGCTTCTCTCTATATATACTCTTCATATTCCCCATATAGTCTGTTGATCCTGTCTGAATTTGTGTTCATCTTAATCATGTTATCTCCAAAGGTTTAAAGTGAGATTTCCTCTCCACAGTCTGGCCCTGTTGTTGCCTCCTTTTTCCCCATGTGCTCCCTGCATGCACCCAACCCATTTTTTCATCTATGCCAGCGGTTTGTGATGTGGCAGCCATATTTCCTGGGAGAAAACTGGCCCCGAACAAAGCAAAGCAAAACAGTAGGAGCATGTAGCTTTCCTGGGCAGGCATAGGGATCTTTATACAAGCCCCACTGGGGCTAAAATGGGAGACTAAGACACTGTATGTGAGAGTACAAGTGTACTGGGAGGAAAATGTTCCTCTCCTAGTTGATAAGAGGGGCTCAAAGCACAGAAATGGGGAAAGGTTTTGAAATGGTGGGCTTCAAGGTCTGCTATCCTTATAAGAAGAATGAGAAAGTTTGGACTTTATTAACTCACCACCTGGGGAAAAAATGGAGAGCAAAGATGGTACCTGGATATCGTGTTTGACAAGCATCTGGGACACCAAGATGTTGGTGTCAGAAGGAAGATGATGTCTTTTCAGGGCAATCCCTTGCAGCCAGCTCTGGAAGAAGAAAGAAGGAGGGCCATCTGGCTCCAACTTGGCTCATGCAGTCAGTTTGTGAGGCAAGATGAAGCGAATACTTAAAGGCATGAGGAGAAGGGACATCAAAGCCAAAGAACTGCAAAAATGTTGGGAATTTATTTCAGAGAAAGGTTGAAGAAGATTGAGGTGCATGTGTGGAGCTGAATGCAGAGAAAGAAGCTGGTAAGGAGGCACATCCATTGAGGCCCCTGCGCTGGGCTGTGTACGTGCTGACTGTGGGCAGTGTTTGGAGTGCGGGGAGGGAACAGTGCCAAGGCTCAGCCCCCGCTCAGGGCGTGGTATCATATCTG